GAGAAAGAGAGAAAGAGAGAAAGAGAAAAAGAGAAAGAGAAAAAGAGAAAGAGAAAAAGAGAAAGAGAGAGAGAAAGAGAAAGAGAGAGAGAAAGAGAAAGAGAGGAAGAAGAAACATTACCCAACAATTTTGAGAATTTCAAACTGCTATCACAGCTTTGATAAAATTGCGGGAAATCCGAATTTGCAATTTCCGAGATGAAAATTACGCGAAACTACTCTGAAAAAAATATACACGACCTTATTTAAAGATGTATTGGAAGAACAGATTTTATTCAGTAAAAACTCAGTATAGTAATTGTACGAAGACACCGACCATAATTTGAACTTATGCAATTTTCGAAAACTCAGACTTCAGCGAAAATGCTCCAAGCACCGTTCTTAAGTGTCTTTTGCTCTATCCGGGGTATAAATTTAATAAAAAAATTGGATCCACTTTCGAGAAAATTTTGAAAATGTTAAGGCTTCAAGTAGAATACTCCCAAAAGTCAAAATATTCGTTTTAAACTCGCAGGGCCTGGAGTTCAGCCGATCAATATGGGAGAATATCAATTTTTGAGAAAACAGCCTGTAGCGTTTAGGCTCTAGCTTTGCACATAGAGCGAGAAGCATGTTTTGCCGTCAGCCAATTTTTCTATATATACCACCAACAAAACGTGGATTCTGAATAAATAATGTGTTACAGGATTTACAACATACAGGTACAGGATTCATCCACTTTTCTCTATCAGGGCCCTAGAATAGTTTTTCTGCCAAAAAATCGCATTTTTTGCCGCAGCATTACAATATGTTTTCTATACTACACGGGTAGGGGGATACGGAAAGGAATAGTGCCGCAATAAGGCATGGGTAGATCGGTCGATAGTCCGGGACCCTATAAATCAAAGGGCCCGATTATGGGACTGATGAGGAAAAAGTTGAAAAAGAAATTTGAACTTGAGAAAATCATTATTGTAATTTTATAAGTTGCGATACAATACTCTATTTTATAAAGTTTTCAATTAATTTTTACCTTAAATAGTTAATTATAGTCATTACTTACATGAAATGAATAAAATGACTCTAACATTGAAATAGGTTCTACTGAAATTCATAATTGTTATTCTGTGATTTTATTAAACACCAAACACAACAATTTTTTTAGCGTTTTAATTTCACCGTGGAAATTATATTATTTGATCACTATATTCTTCTACTTAAAACTGTTATTTAAACCGTATATTTTCAAACACTTTTTTCTGGCTTATACGTGATTTTTTATATTTGTTTAAATAAAATAATACAAATAGTTTCTTGATACAATTTTCATTTTTTTTCGACGGGAGGGGGTTTCGTTTCAGCATTGCCCCAGGCCCAAAATTGACCAGCTCCAGCACTAGGAAGGGAGAGTGACATGGCGAAGCGTGTAAGACGACGGATTCGATATTTCTTGAACTTACAAAAAGGTAGCAGGTCCTGCTCAGGCCTTTAGGGTTCTCTAGCTGCTAGAAATACAGTACATAACTTGGAAAAATCCAGTTCAGTATAACCCCTGAACTGCGTCATGCGCAAACGCGATTTGGAAGGTGGAGCGCAAAATGTTTGGTCTTCACAGCGTAAGGAATTACTCTATACGATAAGTTATTTTAGCTCCCACCTGGCATATTCGTAAAATGCACCTTAAAACACGTAAAATCATGTAATACGTAGGTTTTTCGCAAAGAAGACGGATCACAAGTTTGAATCAAAAAATGGCGAGGTAGTGTAAGATGAACAGCGCTGCGGGTAAGATGAGGAGTTCGAAACTTGAATTATCTTCTTCGACACGCTTTAATATAAGAGCACTCTTTGTTAACAATCAATCAGGGGCGTAGCTAGGCTGATGCAGTCGGTATCCGGCACCGGAACACCAAAGGCAGGGACTTCGAATGAGGACGCCCCGATTCCTCATATAGAACGATTTTCTTAAGAATGGGATAAAGTGCCAGTTCGCGAAACAAGTGAACATCACGTGTACTTCAGAGAAGTATCCCTCCGCCGTGTCAGCTGTTTAGTTACGCCCCTTCGTAGTGTTTGTTTGCGGCTCACGCGAAGACATCACTATAGAGATGCCTGAATTTCGCTTAGTTATATGCACGTACGCGAGTACGGGAAATATCGAAATTTATTTACATATGTGGGAAAATGTCTTAACGTGATCTCACATTCAATAAAAGAAAACTGTCACGAATGTAAATAAAAAAGAAAATTGATTTTTCAGGGGACGTTCAAATACCTTTTCTGGACATTTCACAGCTAATGGCTCATCCACTTTCGTAGAGAAGAGGATGGTTTAATTATAATTATAACACCCCGACTATCAAAACATGGTACTATGCTCTCATAACTCAAATGTGTTTTAATGATTGTTTTATATTCCACTAATGTTATGCTTTTCAATGCATGTCTTGATCTACAACTAAAGGCTTTATTAAATGTTCTTGAGAGTTGTTTCCTTTACAAGCATTCACTTTTCAAATAAATATTTTAAATGCTAAATATCGATAGAACATATCTTTATGATGTTAAAAGAATGAATGTCCTGTTAAGGTACATAAATATATGTAATTTCACGAGATTATTTATGGAGCACTTTGACCAAAGGGGTGGAATTGTTAATTCCATTACACTGGGACACCACTTAATAATAATAATAATAATAAT